AAAGGGATACATATTTTCTCAGCTCACTTTCATTTTGTATTCAGCAGGGAGCCCCAGGCTCTGGAGTGCTGCTGCCCATGTTTAGGGTGGGTCCTCCCACCTCAGGTAACCTAGTCTAGAAACCTCAAAGATGTGCCTAGAGGTTTTTCTCCAAGGTGATTCTAGACTGTCACATTGACAATATACATTTACCTGGAAACAACATGAAAGTCACAGGGCATCCTCCATCAAAATCCCACCAGTTGCAAGCTCAAGGTTGTGTTTGACCAGGTGACTATAAACTGGGGGTTCTAGTTTTATTTCTGTTACTGTGACAAACACCCTGGCCCAAAGCAGCATATAAAAGAAAGGGTTTATTTGGCTTGTAACTAACTCCAGGTTACAGCCGCTAATCACGTCACACCCACAGTCAACAGCAGATGGTGTGTAACTACAGGTTACAGCCGCTAATCACATCACACCCCACAGGCAACAGCAGATGGCTTGTAACTAACTCCAGGTTACAGCCGCTAATCACATCACACCCACAGTCAACAGCAGAGAGAGATGAGTGCACTCTTACTGCCTGCTCCTCCTCTAGCTCTCTCTCGTCATACACAGCTCAGCAACCCCTGCTTAGTGGGCTGGGCTCTCATACATCAGTTAACCATCAGAATAGCCAGTCCTCCAGAGACAGGCCCACAAGCCAGCCTGCTAGAGACAATCCCTCAACTGAGGCTCTCTTTTCAGATTAGTTCAAGTTGTGCAAATTAAGAGTGAAAATTAACCAGCGCACCGGGTTTATATGCATGTACTTCTGTGGTATGTTGAGAGTCCAGAATGCCCAGAAGTGGTATGCTTGGGTCACACAGGGAATCTGTTTTAGTTTCTCAGGTGTCTCACCTGCTCCTAACTTGTTAGAACAGTTCATGAGGTTCAGAGAAAGCACTACATTTACTGTATTATTACATTTTAATATCAGCTTATATTTGTTGAATAAAAGAACAAATTCATTATGACATTTTGACATTTTATGTGCCTCAATTGGTCTCAGGTCCCATTTTATCTCTCATCCCCACTCCTGGTTCTCTTTACCCCAAAATACATTTTCATGTCCTAGATCATACTCCAACAAAGCCAACTTTAAAGTAATGCTTGGTGATGCATGTCTTTAATCCCAGCACTTGGAAGACAGAGGTCACCCTAGTCTACATAGTGAATTCCAGGACACCCAGGGCTACATAGAAAGAGAAACAACACAAGAACCTTTCAGAGGAAAAGGGTTTATTCAGCTCACAATTCCAGGTTTACAGTCAATCGTTGTGGTTGTGGGGCAGTCAGGACAAGAACTTGAGGCAGCTGACCGTGTCTACAGTCCAGAGCAGTAAGACAAGGCACACATGTCTGTGCTCGGCTTACCTTTCCCTCTTTTAAACACTCCAAACCCAAACCCAGAGGAGCTCTGCCAGGAGCAGGCTGCACCGTCCCGTCTCAGACACTTCCCTGCAGACACGCCTACAGGACAACTTCGTGTGGACAGTCCCTCACTAACACTCTCTTCCAGGTGACTAGGCTATGTCACAATGTCTTTCTGAGTCTGCTTACTTCATTTGTTTTCCTGAAAACAGGGTGATTTCATTCTCTACATCTTAATAAAAACACAATTAACACATTTAACACATTCTCTTCATCTGGATGGACTTTGAGGTTAATCCCACATCAAGGCTATTAGGAATAAATGTGAATGTACAGGGGTCTCTGTGGTATGTTGTCTTAGAAACCTTTGGGAATACACCCAGGAGTTAGGTATACAGTGGGATCAATACTGTTGAAATATTAGAAGAGTTAGAAATACAGTTCTAATTTTAGTTGGTCTGCCAGTGAGCCAGCCTGCCTGCCTCCCCCACTCCCTTCCTTTCTTCTTGTCTGTGCTTTTGAAACAGGGTCTCATGTAGCACAGCCCATCCTTGAGCTTTCTATGTAGCTAAGGACCACTTTGAACATCTGATCCTCTGGCCTACACCTCACCGGTCCTGGGAATACAGGTGTGAGTGCCCCATCCAGTTTCCACAGTGCCGGGGCTCAAACCCAAGGCTTCATGGATGCTTGACGATCACTCACTCCATCCATTGAGTCACATCCCCAGTCTGTAGCTTTAGTTTCTTCAGCAATCTCCACACTGATTTCCATAGTGACTGCTCCATGCCCACCAGAAGTGACAATGCACAGATCAGTAGTCAAGCTCAGCAATGTGTCAAGCGCAAGTAACCTGCCTCATGGAGTTCCCAGAGTTCCCTCATGCTCACCTTTGGGGCCTTCCAAGTGTTTGGAGTTCCCAGAGTTCCCTCATGCTCACCTTTGGGGCCTTCCAAGTGTTTGGAGTTCCCAGAGTTCCCTCATGCTCACCTTTGGGGGCCTTCCAAGTGTTTGGAGTTCCCAGAGTTCCCTCATGCTCACCTTTGGGGGCCTTCCAAGTGTTTGGAGTTCCCAGAGTTCCCTCATGCTCACCTTTGGGGCCTTCCAAGTGTTTGGAGTTCCCAGAGTTCCCTCATGCTCACCTTTGGGGGCCTTCCAAGTGTTTGGAGTTCCCAGAGTTCCCTCATGCTCACCTTTGGGGGCCTTCCAAGTGTTTGGCTACCAGTAAGCTTTCTGAGCGTGGTTGTTTGAGGGGGAAGGGTATGGATGCTTGACTAAGTATGAGTGGCATGATTAAGTCATTGGTGACAAAATTTCAATCAGACATTTCAGCCTTGAAACGGGAGGCTTGTTCCTCTGATAATTAATCTTGTCCCCACCTTGTCTGATTTTCTAGGGACTTTTAACAAACCTCTTTAGTAATATAGCTTGAGTATGTTGAAGCTGGGTGTGGTGGGGCACAACTGTAATCCCAACACTTATGAAGTAGAGGCAGGTATATTAGGAGTTCAAGGCTAGCCTCTACTACATGGTGAGTTTGAGGTCAGACTAGGCTACATAAGACTCTGTCTTATGTAGTGTATTCGAGAGGACATGTATGTATATTTCTCCTGTGTGTTATAGCTAATAGAGGACATCTTCAGGAACCAAGGATGATGGGATAAACATTTTAAGGGAAACTGGTTTTATGGATATGTTCAGGTAGGAGACGTCATGGTTTTAGGTCTCATGAAGCAGAAATCACAGACAAAAATAAGACAAAATACAAACCAGGCATGGGGGTGCGTGTTTGTAATTCCAGCACTTGGCAGGCTGAGGCAGGAGGATTGCTCCAAGTTCAAGGGTTGCATAATTGAGTCCAAGGCCATTCTGGGATATGTGGTGAAAACCTATCACACAAAAAGAAGCCAAAATATATACACCACGACATCCTATATCCCTGAGCTGCCCCTACATCATTATTCTATATTCACATCACACTGATCATCTCTTGGTCCCAGAACAGCGAAATTCTAGGACTTTCCCAGAGGTATAGTCTCTACACTTCATAACACCAGCCCCTGGGCCTGGCAAGATGGCTCAGTGCTTAAAAGCATTTGGTGCTTTTGCAGAAGACCAGAGTTCTGTTCCCAGCATCACAACTGCCTGCAACTCCAGCTTTAAGGGTCTAAGGGATCCAGTGCCCTCTTCTGGACACACACAGACACACACACACACACATAAATAAATATAAGATAAATCTTAAAAAAAAAAAAAGTTCCTTTTATCCTTGGGATCTCTACCCATGTGTCACTTACCCTGAGAAGTTCTCAACACACCTTATTTGAACCAGCTTTCCCCATTCTAGAATGAAAGCCCTGTCCTTATCCTTTGCAGAATGACATACTTCATGATCCCATAGAGATCGTCACAACACATGGCGCATGGGCAGCAGGACGGCTTTCCTGCTGGGTGTCAGATGGTATTCAAAGCTACAGCCTGAAATCTTCTCTCCCACAGATTGGCCACTCCTGTTTGGTCACACCAATTATTATTGGTCAGTCAACCTTTAACCTCCTGCTGGGAAGAATTTCAGGGTTGAAGCAAGTGGCTGGTTCCTCTGGAAACTGATACAACCCTTAAACATATCAGGTTTTCTAGATACTTTCGAAAAATCGACGTAACATCATTATTATTTTCCATTCTCTTCTTAACTTTTTTTTGACACAAAGTCTCATTTTATAGCCCTGGCTGACCTAGAACTCTCCATGTAGACCAGGCTGACCTCAAACTCACAGATATCTGACTGCCTCTGGCTTCCAAGAGTTAGAACCACTATGTCTGGCTATCTTTTCTTAAAATTAGATTTATTTTAGGTGTATGAATGTTTTGCCTGCTTGCATGTATGTATACCATGTGCATGCCTGTTGGATCCCTTAGAACCTGGGTTAAAATCAGTGTTAGCTACCATGTGGGAGCTGGGACTTGGTCTTTGCTCTTAACCATTGAGCCGTCCCTCTAGCCCTTCTTTTAAATTTGTGTGTGCATGTGTGTGTGTGTGTGTGTGTGTGTGTGTGTGTGTGTGTGTGTTGTGTGTGCACTGAGACACCCGTGTGGAAGTCAGAGGACAACTTGTAGGAGTTGGCTACATGTATACATCTCTTTCCAACATGTATATTGTGAAGACTTGAACTCAGGCTGTCAGGCTTGGTAGGAAATGCCTTTATTGCTGAGCCATCTCAGTGGCCTCTGCTATTATTGTTTGAGACAGGCTTTTGCTTTGTAGCTCAGGCTGGTTTCAAACAGCATCCTCCTGCCTCAGTCTCTCAAGTGCTGGAGTAACAGATGTGCGCCACCTCATTCAGGAGCACCTCCCATTTTAGGAAATGCTCATTCTCTCTTTCTTGTGGCCCAGAATTTACCCTTGTGACGAGTCTCTCAGGGTAAATTATGAACCCATTTTAAAGGCAAGAGAGTAGAGATCTGGATGTGGGTGGCAGATACGTGTCATACTCACACTCTGCAGGGTGAGGCAGGAGGATGGTCAGGAGGATTCCAGACCAGCTTAGGCTGCCAAGCAAGACCATGTCTCATGCAAAACAAAACAAAACAAAAAAGAAAGCAAGGAAGTTTTGAGTTTTATGACTTATTCAAAGCAGGGATTAGCATTAAGCAGATGCAGGGTTATAGGCAAAGATATGAAAACAAGGACTATTGAGTAAGGATGTTCATAGAGGAGATAAAGGGAGACTTGTGGGGGTGATAAGACCCACAAAGGAGGCCTTTGGCTCCTGTGGCTGTAGGGACCAGAGAGCTGTTGATTTACGGTGGCAGTGATTCAGAGAGGGGCAGAGTTGACAGGAGCTGGGCCTTATAGAATGTGGGATGTAGTTTGTGTCAGGATCTTGGAGTAGGAATGAGCTAGGCAGAGGGTCTAGAGTAGCTGTGGTGAGTCACCTTGAAGTGCATAGGATGTGGTCATGGAGAAGATTCTGGACAAGAGAGACTTTCATAATGCAAGGAGTCTAGAACCTTCTTGAATATAAACATACAGTGTTGTCAGGAGGTAATATTTTGAGGGTTCCAAGAAACTGCTGGGTAAAGTCTATCTACAGAATGCTACTGAGATGAATTCATGAAGAGCCTGAGTAACATAAACTAAACTGGGATATGCAGGTATCAACTGCAGTTTGTGGTGGACATGATGATGTGGCTGTGGACTTGGATGGTATTTGGGCTGGAGTACTAGAGTTATTGATGAGTTCCATGGCTAGTAGAGGGGATGTGGCTGGTAGTGAATGTGAGTCCGTGATTCCAAAGGGACACTTACGGCAGAGGGGACAGAGAAGGGAGGAGTGCACAGTGAGATAGGACAGTAGGGGAGGGAGACAGGCAAATTAACCAAGTTTTATTGTGTGCTCTTTGTCCATCTCTGCTTTGGAGTGTTTTTGATGGTATGCCAGATCCAATGCAGATATTTCGAGACTCGTGTGTAGACACCGGGTCGGTTGGGCTGTCCACATGGAAAATCTCCCCATGAGATGATGCCATAGAGTTTGCCATTGCAAACCAGTGGGCCCCCGGAATCACCCTGGATTGGGGAAGAGAAAGAAGGGCTCTTGATAAGCCTGAACAGAAGGTAGATATGGGGGAGATGTAGGGAGGAGAATAAAAGATGGAGAGAGAGAGAGAGATATGGAGAGTCAGGGAGATGGAAAGTCAAGAGATGGAGAATCAGGGAGATGAAGAGTCAGAGAGGTAGAGAGTCAGGGAGATGGAGAGTCAGAGAGATGGAGAGTCAAGGAGATGGAGAGTCAGAGAGATGGGAGTCAGAGGGATGAAGAGTCAGGGAGATGGAGAGTTAGAGAGATAGAGAGCCAAGGAGATGGAGAATCAGGGAGATGGGAGTCAGAGAGATGGAGAGTTAGAGAGATGGGAGTCAGGGAGATGGGAGTCAGGGAGATGGGAGTCAGAGAGATGGGAGTCAGGGAGATGGGAGTCAGGGAGATGGGGAGTTAGAGAGATGGGAGTCAGAGAGATGGGAGTCAGGGAGATGGGAGTCAGGGAGATGGGAGTCAGGGAGATGGGAGTCAGAGAGATGGAGAGTTAGAGAGATGGGAGTCAGGGAGATGGGAGTCAGGGAGATGGGAGTCAGAGAGATGGAGAGTTAGAGAGATGGGAGTCAGGGAGATGGGAGTCAGGGAGATGGGAGTCAGGGAGATGGGAGCCAAGGAGATGGAGAATCAGGGAGATGGGAGTCAGAGAGATGGAGAGTTAAAGAGATGGGAGTCAGGGAGATGGGAGTCAGGGAGATGGGAGTCAGGGAGATGGGAGTCAGGGAGATGGGGAGTTAGAGAGATGGGAGTCAGGGAGATGGGAGTCAGGGAGATGGGGAGTCAGAGGGATGAAGAGTCAGGGAGATGGGGAGTCAGGGAGATGGAGAGTTAGAGAGATGGGGAGTCAGGGAGATGGGGAGTTAGAGAGATGGAGAGTTAGAGAGATGGGTGTAAAGAGAAGCTTTTTCTTTTGATAGGGGCCTTCCCGCCAGCCTGGTTCTAGAGCAGCATCAGTCCCAAATAAACACACAGGAGGCTATATTAATTATGAAGCTGTTGGCCTTGCTTGTTTCTTACTGGCTACCTCTGACTTAAGTAATTACCCCATAATTGTTAATCTAAGTATTTCTCTTACCGGAGAATGGTTCCAGGCTTCCTACCCCCATGGCATTACATCTTGACTCTCTGTGTTTCTCTTTCCCAGAGTCCTCCTGGACTCCTAGTCCCTCCTATCTAGGTTTCCTATTGGCTCAACAGTACTTTATTGACAAATGCACAGGACTTCCCCCAACAGATGGGGAGTCAGAGAGATGGGGAGCCAGGGAGATGGGAGTCAGGGAGATGGGAATCAGGGAGATGGGAGTCAGAGAGATGGGAGTCAGAGAGATGGGAGTCAGGGAGATGGGAGTCAGGGAGATGGGAGTCAGGGAGGTGGGAGTCAGGGAGGTGGGAGTCAGGGAGATGGGGAGTTAGAGAAAGAGTCAGAGCGATAGTCAGGGAGGTAGTCTTGGAGATGAGAATCAAGGGGATAAAGAGTCAGAGAGATGGAGACCTAGAGGGGTTGACTGCCTGTTTCCAACATTCTCCATATCTCACCTCACAAGAGTCCTTTCCGCCTTCTTTGGTACCAGCACAGAGCATGTTGGCAGTGATCTTCCCAGGATACACCTGCCGACACTCCTCATCTGAGCGCAGTTCAATGTTGGCACACTGCAGGGTTTTAGGGTAATTCACTGGGGAAGGAGAGAGACCATCTGAGGCTTGTCCTGGATGTTAAAGAATCAGAGTGGGCAGGAAATCGAGATGGGATAAGGTGAAGGGAAAGGTCAGGCAGAAAGTAGTAAAGAGACAAGAATATGGACAGACATGTGAAGCAAATGAGGAAAAAGGAGGGGGTGGAGCGCTGGGCGGGGGATAGGGATGGGGAGAGATCAGAGACCTGAAGCTGGGGTGCTGGGGAGGTACCCCGGTACTTTCCATGTGAACACGAGGATCAGAGTTCAGTCCCTAGAATATGTAAATATTGGGAGCCGGCACGGTGAACTGCCTATGATTCCAGTCTCAGAAGACACAGGGATCCCCAAAACAAGCTAGTTAGCAAGGCCATTGGGTCCTGATGGTGGGCTTTGGGTTTGACGGAGAGACCCTGCCTTGATGAACAGCGTGGAAGTGCGGTTCCCAGCATGAACCTTGAGACTCCACATGTACTCAGGCACACACGTGTGTGCCCACACAAGCAAATGGGAGTACACACACGCGCACCACCTGTGTGTGGAAATGGAAAAGGGAGAGAAGGGAACCAGAAGTAGGAAGGATGCAGGAGAAGTGAGCGGATGGGGGGGGCGGCGCACGGGACCATGTGGGGGAGGGGCACAAAGGTGCAGAAAGGGGATGGGGCAGGGCGAGGGACTGCTGTGCAGATGCCTGCTGACATATATTATGCTGTATGTCAGTCGTACGTGAGACACATTCTCTACTGCTACACTACATCCCCAGCCCTTTTAACTTTATTTTGCTTTCTAAAAATTTGATGTATGCTAAAATGGGTATGAGGAGGTCAGGGGACAACTCTTGGGGGTCAGCTCTCTCCTTCCATCATAAAGGAGGGCTGAACCCGGGTTGCCAGATGGTGGCAAGAACCTTTACCCCCAGTCCTCGGACCAGCCCTATTTTACTTTTTTAAAAAGAAATTTTGAGACAGAATTCTCTGTGTAGCCCATGCTGACTTCTTCTCTGTAGCTTAGGCTAGCCCTGAACTTGTGATCCTAATGCCTCAGTCCCCCTGGCATTATGGGCCTGTGACACCAGGGCCAGCTTATTATATAATAATTTATTCTGAGTCTGGAGAGATGGCTCAGGAGACAAGAGTTTGATTCTCAGCTCTCATGTCTGGCAGCCCACAACTGCCTGTGATGCCTGCTCTAGGGGTATCTAGTACCCTCTTCTGGCCTCTGTGGACACTGTACTCACATGCAGAAACCCACACATAGATACACACACAGACTAAAAATAAAGTAAATCGTATGTATGTATGTATGTATGTATGTATGTATGTATGTGTATATTTCCAGTACTTGGGAGGCAGAGCCAGGTGGATCTCTCTGAGTTCCAGGTCAATAAGGCTACGTAACACTCTCTCCCCACCCTCTCTCCATATATGTATGTATGTGTATATATATATATATAAATATATATGTGTGTGTATGTGTGTGTATCTATATCATAAATTTGTAATATTAAGGAGATACATGCCTTCATTTATATAGGCTTATTTTTATAAAGGGACTAGCAAGATGGCTCATTGGGTAAAGATATTGCAGCCAAAGCTGAGGACCTGAATTTGATACTCAGAATCCAAATGGTGGGAGGAAAGGACAGGAATCCTGCAGTTTGTTCTCTGACCTCCCTTTGACTGCTCTGGTATATGCACCTTCCCTCAAGCACACACCCAAAACCAACACAAATATAATAAAAAAAAATCCTCCTCACCAATACAAATGTAATAAAAAGAATCCTCCTCTGACTTCTCTGCTTATTGCTGAGTCATCTGTGAGGACTCCAGCAGCCAGTGCAAGAACTTACCCTGGGGGCTGGTGGTGGTGCCCCAGCCGGAAACGCGACAGCAGGTACCAGTGGGTAGGCAGTCTTCTGGGGAGAGTGGCAGAGGACGGATGTGGCTGCTGAGCTGGACTGGGGACTTCAACTCCAGAAGCATGATGTCATGGTCGTGGTTCAGGTGGGTGGGGCTGACCTGGTATTCAGGATGGGGGATAGAGCGGACCACCTCCATTGCCTGCTCGCCGTTCTCCACACGCCCCAGGGCATGCTTGCCTAGGTGAACTGTGTACCCACTGTGGGTGCAGGAAGTGGTGGAAAGAGACAGATGAACCCATCTCTGTCCCAGCCCCAGCCCCAGCCTCTTCCCCATCCTGCACTCAAGGCCCCACATACTCTTTCCTGCAGTGAGCTGCTGTGAGTATCCATTTGGGGTGAACCAGAACGCCTCCACAGAGAAGCCGTCCATGGACTAGCAGAGCTGCCTGCCAAGGCTGAGAGTGTGGGAGGCAGGTGTAGCCACCTGGGAGAAAGCCGTGGGTCCCATTGGTACCATTGAGAATCTTGGGATAGTCCCGGGAGATTCCTGTCAAAGGCAGGACACTGTTAATTTGTCCACCCATCAATCCAACTGCCTATCTATCCATCCATTCACCCATCCTTCCAGCTACCAACCCCCATCTATCTGTTGATCAGTTCACGCAGACATCCATATATCTACCTTCCCATTCATTTATTCATCTACCCACCTACCCATCTACATATCCACCAATATGTCCACCTATTCATTCATTCACATGTCCATCCATCTCCCCATGCATTTATGTATCCATCCATCCACCTTCTACTCATCTATCTATCCACCTATCTCCTACCCATACACCTATCCACCCATCCACCCACCCATCCATCCACCCATTTACCCACCCATCTATCTACTCACCCATCCATCTATCCACCCATCCATCCACCCACCCACCCATCCACTCATTTACCCACCCACCCATCCACTCACCCATCCACCCACCCACCCACCCACCCACCCATCCATCCATGTATCTATCAATCCTCCATCAATCTATCCACCCACCCACTAATCTACCTACCCACCATCCCATTGATTTCACATGCCCACCCACCTACTCATTCATCTATGTATCTATCTATCCACTCAGTTACCCATTTCCATGTGTTCACCCAAACATCCATACACGTATACATCTATCCCTCTGTCCATTCATTCATCCACCAACCTACAATCTATCCATCCTCCCAACCACCAACCCATTCATCCACCTATCCATCCATCTTCCATACCCTACCTATGTATCCATTCATCCATTCTAATCCATCCAACCATCCATCCATTCTTTTAACACATATTTGCTGGGTGCTTTTCCAGTTCTACAGACCACCTACAAGTAGCCATGCCCAAATTCACATCTCCAAACCCAACCTTTGCAGCTGGAAGCTCAAATGCTATCAACCCAAACACCTCACACACATCTTAAAGTTGGCGTCTAGAAACTGATCTTTCTCACCCAAACCCGTTCCTTTCAGTCCTTCTCATCTTGATGCTCAGTCCAAACTTTTGGGATACACCCTTGCTTCCTTTCATCCCTTAATTATTCACAATGTCCTGTTTATCTCCTAAATGTCAAGTTTAAAATGCTTAATATTTATTTTATGTGTGTGAATGTCTTGCCTGCATGCATGTATGTGCACCATGTGCATGCCTGGTACTCAAAGTGTGAGAAGCGGGCATCAGACCCCCTGGAAATGGAGTTACAGATGGTGTGAATCATCATGTGAGTGCTAGGAACCAAACCTGGTCCTCGCAAGAACAGCCAATGTTCTTAACCACTGAGCAGTGTCTCCAGCTCCCTGACATCCAGTTTTTACCAACTCCCTGCCACCACCTTGGAGGGAACAGTGAGTTGCCTGTAATCTCAAAGCTGGAGAAGCAAAGCCATGAGGATCTCTGGGGTTTGCTGGCAGCTGATACAGTTGAATTGGAGAGCTCTAGATTCAGTTGGAGAGATTGTCTCAGAAAATAAGGTGGAGAATGATAGAGGAAGACACCTGATGTTGACCTCTGGCCTACACACACACACACACACACACACACACACACACACACACACACACACACACACACACAGAAACTGTGTGTCACTTGGAAGCATGTTTGTCTGAATCTCCGCCTCCCTCCTCTGCTCTGGCCTCACGCACCTGTTCACACAACACACTAGAGCCTCTCTTAGTACCTGTTGTTCCCTCCTTCTGAATCCTTCTTCCTTATGTCAATCATAGGCCCACATGCTTCATTATGCCAATCATAGACACATGTAGGTCTTGAAGTCAATTAAAATAAAATCCAAATCTCAGTTCCTTGGAGATACCAGACTCATCTCAGATATTCATTATCCCCATGGCCAGACATAAGCATGTGGTGCAGACAGGGTGCACTTGAGCTGGTGCATGGAGAATCCAGAGGCACATGATAGGGTCCTGCTTCCTTCCCTGTGAGACGTAAGTCTGTACATTACTTCTTCAGCAAAGCCTTCTGGGACCCCCCGGGTCTAAGGTTCCCCTCCTGGACCTCATGCATGTCATGTTTCTGTGAGGATGCTCATTAAAGCTACAGCTATCCATCTCTTCAGGCTTGCTGGTAATTCCCTTTCCCTCTCCCATCCCTGTCTTCTCTATCCATTCCCCCTCTCTTCTTTCCTCTCTTTATTCTTCTCTTTCTTTCCTTCCTCTTTTTCTTCCCCTTTCTCTTTCCTCTTTGCCTTTCTGTCTGTTCCTCATCTTCTTTTTCCTTTCTCCCTCTCCCTTACAATAAGCTCCACTGACAACAGCCATCTATACTCTGTCCAGCAGTCTCATTCCTCACATCTAGCACACGTGACAACAATAGAGACAGGTGGTGGGGCAGAGCATCTAGATCCCAGTGGGCTGCTTTCTTACCATGCAGTGTCCTGCAAATGGCCAGCCTCAGCTTCCCTCTCTGTGGAGTAGGAAGAACACAGAACTCTCTGTATCTGTGCAGAACTGGTTCTAGGGTTCTATAGACATTGCAACTCAGGAACATTCAAACCCTTTACATAAAGCATCATGATGTTTATGTATAACCTTTACACACCTTTCCATCCCATTTAAACCACCCCTGATGATTTATAATAGCTAATAAAATCCAAATACTGTGTAAACAATGACTACCATTATTTCCCCAGGAGTAATGCCATAGTGGGAAAGCCAACACGAGCTTGGCACTGACAAGAATAGATTTTTTTCTTTTTGCTGCATAGTTGGTTGAATTCTCAGAAGAGGAGCTGTGGATACAGATGACTGGCTGTGGGAGCTCATCACACATTAGGAAGCTGTGGGATTCATCAAACCCCCACCTAAGCATCTTACAAATGCTTAGCCACAAGAGAGGCCCCTTGTCTCACAGTCCACTTCCTCACCTGCTTATGTTGGGATGGGCCCCATGGTTCTGAGAGTTAAGCGCAGCAAGAAAGGGTCATTCTAGGTGAGACAAGGCTGACATTAAGAGGTAGAGACAGGAGGATGAGAAGTTCAAGGTCATCCTTGGCTACATAGCAAGTTTGAGGCCAGCCTGGGCTACTCGAGACCCTGTCTCAAAAATGAAAAAGTGAATAAATAAATGGCAAACTCAGAGGCTGAGTTCTGGTTCAGTTCTCTGTTGACTCAGGGTGTGTCCCTGTGGAAGACTCATGAGGAGGCTGGATGGGTTGGAAGCCTCACTGTCATCAAGTCCCCTCTCAGTTCCAGGGGAAGCAGATCCTTACCCAGCACCTGGGCTTTGAAGGGTCCACCATCTTTAGTAGCTATTTTACAGAAGACAAAAAGGGGCAGTTAAGCCAAGCTTGCTGGCACAGGCCTGTTAGCCCATCTCCTTGGGAGACTAACACAGGGGGATGGCAAATTCAAGACCTTCCCAGGGTACATTATTTCAAGCTGGCCTTAATGAGACTCTATCTCAAAATAAAAAGTAAAAGGAGAACTGGGAATGTAGATCAGCGGTCGAGACTTCCTTAGCTCTCATACACACACACACACACACACACACACACACACACACACACACACACACACAGGATCTAACCTTTGTCGGTTCTAGGGATTGACCCTAAGGCCTCAAATATGCTAGAAAAGCACTCTACCCCTAAGCTATATCTCTAGCCAATAAACTTTACTTTTCAATGTGTGCACAGGTGTGAGCACACACACACAATCAGTCAATCAGTCAGTAAATCAATCAGTCAAATAAAGTGAATAGAATACAACAGGAAAATGAAATGAAAGAGTTGAATTTTAAAAGCCCTTAGCTCAGAAGTTATGCAGACATTCCGGTGGACTTCCAGAGCAGGGCACGGTAGACTGGGTAGACAGCCTGGATTAGTGTCCTGACTCAGGTGTGGCAGTGTCTTTGGGACATGATCATTCTGTCCCTGAGTCCTGGGAGTAATTGTAGTGATCTACCTACCTCACTGGGCTCTGAAGGGTTCCACAAGATGCAACATGTGGGGCTCCTGGCCCAGGGCAAGGCACCAGGAGGGGCAAGGGCGTGGATCCTGGGTGTGGCACAAAAGCAAGGCAGCCACTCCGCCTCCAGACAAAGCCTGGGGCAGGGTGCTAGCCGCTGTGGACCCTCCTCCTCTCCCCCCTCCTCTCAGTCAGAACAAAGCCCCAGGGAGGTCTCTGAAAGCCTCCATTACATATCTAGGCTCCTAATAGTTGCTCACCTCATAGTGGCAATTAATTGTTAACTAATTTTTTGGATAATCGTTTCAATAATATCTGCATAGCCTGCATAGCTCCCCCCCCCCCCGCCATATGCTGTGGATGCCACAGGCAGAATGCATGCAGTGCCTGGTGCTTGTCCCTGGAAGAATAAATGAATGAGTGGATGAATGATGCATGTGTATGTGGGGTTTCTAGAGAGTGTGTTTGGGAAGGCAGAGAATGGGGCTGGGCTTGTAGCTCAATTGGTGTGTGCCTAGCATATACACACACAGCCCTGGGTTCCATCCCTAACACCCCATAAACAGAACCTGGTTGGCACCCACTTGTCATCTCTAATGCTGGGAAGGTATAGGCAGGAGGATTAGGGATTCAAGGCCATCCTCAGCTACATAATGTGTTTGAGACCAGCCTAGTCTATAGGAGACACTGTCTCAAAAAGCAAAATACAAAGCCACTAAAACACCAATAAAGGGCCTGGGGAGGTGGCCCAGTGGTTAAGAGCACTGTCTTCTCTTACAGAGGACCTGGGTTCAAGACCCAACACCTACATGGCAGCTCACAAGGGTCTGTAACTCCAGGGGACCTGGACTTTCAGAGCCTTTTCTGTGACACACCAGGCATACCCTCCTTTTCTTATCCCAAGCAATCGATGTTGCAGAAGAAAACAATTGTAGGTTTCAGTTTTGCTCAAGGCAGCATCTCTTAACATTTGAACCTGCTGAGCTCCCTGCTCTCGGGAGGTCTTGAAAGTGTGTGGTGGTGGTGGTGGGGGCTGCAAGGAGCCAAAAGTGTGGGGGAGGGTTGAGGGCTCCCCTGATCTGGGGCATCTCTGGGGTCAGAGGTGAAAGCACTGGTTGGTGTTTGTGGGCTGACCCTAATTGGAAAATCAGGTCACACAGGGACCTGTGTGGAGCTATCAGGTGTCCTCCCTGGCCCCGAGTGGGTGGGTGGGGGCGGAGCATGGGTCCCCTCTTCCCAGTGGCTTGCTCCTTCCCACCATTGGTGTGAATGACCTCCCTGCCTCCACCCCTGTGCCGGAGTACTCACCTCTGGACAAGGCCACGGTCAGGCAAGCGACGGCAGCCACTAGGGGCCACATGACAGCTCCGGGATGGGGGTGGGCAGGGTGGGCGGGGCCTGGGTCGAGAGGCTGAAGTGGGTATTGCAAAGCAAGCCCCGAGACTGAAATTCTCTGCGCTTTGCTGTCTTGAGCTCTCTGGCTCTATTCACTCTGAAATCCCTGACCCTTGACTCTTGCCCTCCCGTAATTCCATTCACAGTGCGTGTGGGACACCCGAGAGCTAGTGGAGGGACAACGAGCACTCCTCTGAGCTCCAGCGCCTGCCATCACTTCCAAGATGTCACCCTTTCCTACCTTGCACTCCGAAAGCTGGGTCCAGATAACATTCCCTCGCGCATCACTGCTTCCCCGCCTCTGACCCCATTCTCCCCTCTCTGGGCCTGTCCCGGACCCTGGGTCTCCTCCCTGGAGTCTAGTCTTTCTGCATGCTTAGACTCCCTGCATCTCTGCAGGTTTCTGTCTCCACCTGCACCTCATGCTGACTCAGCTGCCTGGTGTCCCCTTTCCATCCCTCCTCTTTTCTCCTCCTCCCTGTCCCCTCCAATGCCCCTTTTCGAGGCCTCTACCCCTCTCCCACCCAGAGACCCTACCTGAGGAGGGGCCCAGGTGGCCAACTTCAGCCGCCAGCTGCCTAGAAACTTCAGCTCCGACCCATGGCTTTTAACCCCTGAGCTCCCTCCCCCAGCGCTCGCACCATTTCCCGGTGCTGGCTCCCCCTCTCCACCCCCAAAGGCTCAGCTTGCTGTTGACAGGCACCCCCCAGCCAGGGCTCGGCCCTCGGCTTGGAGGCGGAGCTTCTGGGACAAGCTGGGACCCAGATCTGGCCCCGCCCAAGCCCAAGTTGAACCCACTGTGAACCTTCTTGTGGCAGGGCCACAGAAAAGGGTAAAGCCCACTTCCCTTCTCAGACTCCGGCCATCTCCATACTCCTCACCATGCTGCACCTCTGCTCTCACATTGTTCATTCTCTGAGCCCTCCCCAGCTCCCAGACAGTCATCACTGAGCTGTCCTGAGATCCCACCTTTACCATAGGGATCACACTCAGCCTGTCCCTCAAAGCCAGCCCCAGCAGCAACCCAAGCTTATCTCTCAACATCAAAGCCAGCACAGCCGGTGGGAGTCTCACCTCCAGCCTGGTTTCTTCTGAAATTCAGGGTGATGCCCACATAATGTTCATCACCCCCTTCCCAAGACACAAACCATCACAGGTGCCTGGCCAACAGTGTCTTGTGCCCCTGGGCTTGTGTGGGGCAGAGACCGAGCCTGGGAAAGTAGTTTGAACTATGCTGCCTTTCGGAAGTAGTTGATGAGGTGAGGGAGTGCATGGCAGGGTGGGTGGAGAGTGAGAAGGCTGGGGTGTGTATGGGGGCAAGCTGGGATGGGACAGGGGTGGAGGAAGAGGAAGGAGGAAGGGATGGTGTTTGAGGAATGAGTAGGTGGCTTCTGGAACTCTGTCTGGGTGGGGTCCCATGAGTTAATCCCAGGGGGTGGATGGGCAGGATTAGGGATTAAGAAGGACAGGGGTGGGGTCAGAATTTGAAAACAAGCCAAGGATAAGATCCAGTGAAGTTTGGAAAGATGGAGCTAGTAGAGATGACATCACTAAGATACAGGCTGGTGGGGTGAAGGTTCACAGAATGGGAGGTGGGGCTAAGGTCAGGTACAGGATTAGGGAATGGTGTAGTCCAGGCCAAGGGAGTTAAGGTTTGGATGCAGAGACAAAACCTAGTTCAAAGGTTCCTTTTGAAAATAAGGTGTTGCAGGGCTTTACCAATTGTAGTTCAAGTGGTAAAGTGCTTGTCTGCCATACATGAAGCCCACAACATACAGGCATTAAGGAATGTTAGTATGAATTTAACAAATCAATGCTTTGCTCAGCACATTGGTCCTTAGTGATACTTCCACCTGGCAAATTTCATTTTTGTGAGTTTAGAGAAAAATATTTGCATCACTATCAGATACCTGCAATTCAAAGTTATAAAGTAGCACCGAGTATCACAGGACCTTACTGCATTGCACAGTGAGTTCAGGGCCAACCTGTACAACTTAGCAAGACCTTGTCTCAAAAAGCAAAGTATAAAGAAAACGAGGAGCATAGCTCAGTGGTAGAGCCCTGCTTAGAATCCCCCAGTAAGGGGCCGGGGGCTTAGCTCGGTGGTAGAGCCCTGCTTAGAATCCCCAGTAAGGAGCTGGGGGCTTAGCTTGGTGGTAGAGCCCTGCTTAGAATCCCCCAGTAAGGGGCCGGGGGCTTAGCTCGGTGGTAGAGCCCTGCTTAGAATCCCCCAGTAAGGGGCCGGGGGCTTAGCTCGGTGGTAGAGCCCTGCTTAGAATCCCCAGTAAGGAGCTGGGGGCTTAGCTTGGTGGTAGAGCCCTGCTTAGAATCCCCCAGTAAGGGGCCGGGGGCTTAGCTCGGTGGTAGAGCCCTGCTTAGAATCCCCCAGTAAGGGGCCGGAGGCTTAGCTCGGTGGTAGAGTGCCTGTCTAGCATGGGAAGGTTCTGTGTTCAAGCCTTAGTACTGCTCTCTGTGGTAAAGAAGCATTGCAAAAATGATAACAAAGATGCAGAGATGCTCAAAATCAAATAACCTATCTAATTTTCCATTGAAGAACCTATTGGGTCTATTATCTCAGAGTCCCTCACTAGGAAGAGAAGTTTGGTTTAATGTAATAACCTAAGGGGATGTGTTTAGGATTCGGTGATTCTGATGAGCTCACAGGAAGTGCAGTGGAGTTGGGAAGGATAAAGGTAGTGTGATACTAGGTTACATTTGGGGATAGGGTTGGGTTGCAGATGGGAGAGACATGGAGATAAGGGTGCTGATAGGGTCCTGTTGGGTTGGGTGGGTTGGAGGGAAGGATGGAGGATGGAAGAGTGTTGAGATGGTTGGGATTGCGGGTGAAGAGCAGCGATGGGAACTAGACACAGGTTGAGCATCTGTGATGAATGGGGTAGGTCTTGGTAGGGGGCTGGGTCACATCTGTGAGTTCCTGTTAAGGTGACTGAAAGGCCAGTGTCCTTCTCCACCCTGGACTTCCTCCGCCTCCACGGGCAGGGCTTGAAGTGGGTGCTGAGCCCATTCCTTTCCGGTAGAGTCGGGTTCAGGTGGGGTGGCGGAAGGGAGGATGCTAGGTGAAATGAGGTGACACCTTGTGTGGGAAGTCGGGGGACCTGTGCCCTCTTGTGGCCCAGGCTCAAGCTTCCAGTAAAGCTTTCTCATTTGGGAGGGGCTGGAGCCAGGAGTGGGGGCGGCTGGTGTTGGCATTTGTTGAGAGGTGATCGCCAGGTCAATGTTGATGTTCAAGGTTATGATTGGCCAGGACTCTGGTAGCCTACCTATGTTGAAGTGAGGTCATGGACCCACCAAGGGCTGGGTGCCTTCCACCCCCTCACTTCATTAATAAAGCAACAAGGAACCCATGGTTGATAATTCACACTGGACCAAGTCCAGGGGTACTGTCTCACAGCGCATTATCTTTCTGTGTATTGGCAGCCTACCTGGAGGGAAAAAAATTAAAGAAAAACTGCAAGAGTCAATGTTCCTAGTGCCCCAGAACTTGACACTGACACATAGACAGGCTGAGTTCAGCTGAGGTGGTTGCTCTGTGCCTCAGTGTCCCCATTTGTAACATGGCCCCCATCCACAGCACTTACCTCATAGAAAAGAGTTAAGTGAACTTATATCTAATGGTATTTAAAAGAAAGCTTGGTGGGGACCGTGGGTCTCAGTGTACTTGTTAAAGAACCAAAGCCGGAGATGGAGGCAGCCCCAAGGTTTCCAGAGGAGGCCCCACCCTAGCTTGGCTTCAAAATAGGGTTCTTTGTCAAGCATAAACTGGAAGTTCTGGTTGGGACAAGAAAGTCTGCCCCACACCCAGAGTCTGAAGTAAACACAAATTGACAGAGAGGACACAGAGGGAAAAGGGACCTGAAGAAGAGCTGGCATTCCTAGTGGCTCATAGCTTGGGTCCAGGTGACGTAAATACACAGGAAGCCCAGGTAGGAGGGAGAACAGTGACATGGGGGGAAAGGCTGCAGTCCCAAGAAGGCAGCAGACTCTTGAGAGGCTGGATGTCCCACCTGGGTCCATTGTCACTAGGAAGGCTAAGTTCAGTCCCAATTACCCTCATTCTTTGTCACCAGAAGAGACAGTTCAAAAGTCTGTCTTACCACCTACCTGATTCTGCACCACACCCTCTACCTCTATCTCTGTGCACCTGTGGGTGAGACAGACCCCCCACAGGCTCCTGTCCCTCGCAACAACTCAAGGGCGCTGTTCCAACACCCTTTTGACAGGATCATCAGTAGTTTTTCCCCAGAAAATGTCCCACTAGCATAAAATGGTAGAATTTCTCCCAACTATCACTAAGAAAATAGCAACGGGGGGCACCCTCCTTTTTCCAACCTTGGCCCCCCTTCCACTGCTAGTCCATCTCTGCTCCCATTTGACTCAGTGCTGCCTCTAAAATACTGGCTGCACTCCTACCATGCAGTTCCCCATGAGAGCATTTCCCTGTACCCCCATCAAGGGCACCGATGGCCTCCATGTTGTAGAATCTGAACATCTGTCTCTTCATGGTTCATCTTACTTGAGTTATCAGTAGGGTCAAAGTCGATCACTCCCTGGTCCCCCAGAGTTCCTTTCCTTGGCTTTCTAGGACATGTTTTCTGGTTCTCCTCATGTCTCTCTCACTGGAGGCACCTCAGCCGTGTCTCACTGCCTGGAACCTCTTCTCCTTTCTGTCTATTCTCACTCCCTCACTGACCTCATCCTGTCACGTGGCTTTAAATATTACCTATAGGCTGACAGCTACTTCCAAATTTAATGTCTCTGGACTCCTGCCCTGGGTCTTGCCCACTCCGCATCACCATGTCCTGGTCCTCTTGATCTTCTCTGTCAGTGGTCACACCATCCTTTCCTTACTCAGCCAGAGGTAGTCTTGACCTCGGATGCCTTTCCTCACATCACACATCGTTCTGCTACCAACCCTCCCAGCTCTACTTTCAAAACAGATGCAGGATTTAACTGCTTCTCACCATCCTCCTCCTTACGCCCTTGATGTCTTCCTGGACTCCCCTTTCTCAGCACACTTAAACAAGTTCCCTGTGTGGTCTCTTTGCTTCTGCCTCCGTCTGAACTCTGCGTTCTAAACATCTCTGTGTGTGCACACCATGTTCGTGTTTAAAAGTGGAGGCAGGAATGAGCGAGGCTGGACCTGTGAGGGTCTGAGAGCACTCTTGGTTGATGGTCGCCATTGCCCACCCTGTTTGGCAAGAGCTCTCGTTGTTTGCTGCCGTGTACAATGGGGTAGCTGGCTCGTGAGCCTCTGAGAATTGTCCTGTCTTCACCTCTCACTTCCTGCAGGAGCATTGGGGTTACAGATGAATGCTATGGTGCCCAGATTTTTGTGGCTAATGGGGATCTGAACTCAGGCTTGCATGACTAACACTACCCACTGCACTACCTTGACAGTCCCTATCCATAGCCTGTTTTCAACATATACAGATGTGGCTTAGCCACATGAACCCAGATGAGCAAGGGGTTTTAGCAGGCAGAATAGGCCAAGATCTTAGAGATGATCTCCCAGGAAAGAACCATGTTTTCCCTTGTGAAGGGCACCGTTTGAACAACCCAGGCCTGCCAGAGGGACTGCTCTCTATTTTCCTCTTTGAGATTTATTCGTTTTGATTTTTTGTGAATGGGTGTTTTGCCTCCACAATGTGTACGTGCAGTGCCTGAAGATAGATAGCATCATATCTCTAGTAACCGGAGTCACAGCTGGTTGTGAGCCACCGTGTGGGAACTGAGAGCCAAAACCATGTCATCTAGAAGAGCGGCTAGAGCTCCTAACCCCTGAGCAGTCTCTCCAGTCCCCTACTCCCCAGAGGGAACTCTTACTGAGTAAGTCAGAGGAGGCCACTCCTGCTCCTAAAACCTTGGGACCTCAGAGTGCACGCCATCTTTACTTATGGATGGTAAGCAAGGGTGTAGATCACCTGTGGCCAGTGTTCTTGATAGGATTTGGTGTCCTCTTCTCTCACCTGCTTCTCGTGTCAGACACATTTCCATTTCAGGATAGTTTGCTTCCCTTCCTCACTGCCGGGCCCCTCTTTTCTCAACCGTGTCTATGGTTTTATCAGCCCCTATCATCTCTACGAAGATGTCTTTGACTAGGGAAGTCAGGGTTCTCAGAACAGGCCCAGTGAGTTACTAGAAGGATTGACTCATAAACTCAGAGAGGTGCTATGCTCATGGCTTTGGTTGGTCCCATGCAAAGCTACAGTGAGGACTGGTGAGAGATGGC